CCCCAAAACCCCAAAACCCCAAAACCCCAAAACCCCAAGGTATAAATATTCTCTTGAACAATAATTTTAAATAAAATGGAAACTTTTATAGGAAAGAAACCTATCGGCATTACTCACAAGCTGTCATTCGTGAGCTTGGTTGTTCCTTACTTCGGCTATGTTAACGAATGAGCAGAACTTATGCTGCAGCTAGATTCCAACACCAGAGCAGTCTGGCTTAACAATCTCAAGGTTATACTCGAAGTCATCATGGATTACAGACAGTGAACTCTTGTCAAAGATATCCATAAAACTTTCACTCAAACAATTTCTAAAAGGCTGCAGCAAGGCAAGAACTACTTGTACTTCGCTCTCAAGGTCAAGCTTGGCTCTGAAGAGTCATTCAAGGCCATGATCAAGTTCATGGACCAAATGGAAGAAGTCACACTTAAATACCAATTTGAAGAAGTGTGAATCACAATGGAAGATTGATCCCAACAAATTGGTGACTGATTTCTCCAGAAATATGCTGAGAAAGGATTTGAAAGAAAGGCAATAATATTAAATTCTAAGATATCAGTATACAAAGGATATTGTTATCCAAGGTTGTACAAAAAATATATCTATTACTCTCCTTTAGAAGCGATAATTGGAACTTTTGTTTGAGGTAATTATCGGTCAGACAGCTTACCTTATAACCAAGAAATTGAAAAATTGTATGTTTATGATCCTAAAATTGAAATCTCAAATTTTCAGTTCAAATTCAAAAGCATATCTATTACTACTGAAGCTCTGACCTCTCCTTCATTCGAAGCATTGAATTATGAGTTCAAAAATGATACTTGAAAAGCAATTGAACTTTACCATGAGGATTGATATCGACAAGCTAAAATGGATTCTGAGAAAGTCCAGACCGTTTTCGAATATCTTGAAGAGTTATGAGGAGAACTTCTAACTTTAGAGAGTTTCTCCACTCAATATTCTCACTTTTTTGAGTTCGTTGCCTCTCAAGATTTCTTCCAAGAGAATGAAGATTACCAGAATTTATCAAAAATCAAAAGTTTCACTTTTGAATCTGAGATTATTTGTGATAGAATTGCACTAGACGCTAGATGTTCTAAATCAGACATAATTTATCAGGATCCAGGAAACTCAAGTCTAAAGGTCTTCACAGTCTCAGACTTGGAGTTGAAGCTTATGCCTGATGAGTTCTGCTATGACTATGAGCATCAGATCATTGTGCTAGAGAAAGCTCCAAGTGTCCTGAGTTTCAAAAATATCAAGATCTGCAAAGATGATATGAAAATTACAGAATTTAAGCATACAATTGAAGGCAAATGGTGTATAAAATTACCCACAAATGATCAAATCCTCAAACCTAAAGATGCTCCTCTCTATGAAGATCCTGGGCTCTTTCATGATCAAGAAAGAGACTCAATGATCACATACAAAAACATACTATCTTCAAATAGACCCCATTACCAGCTCAACACTTTTGTCGAGCCAGATAGGTCAAATATCTTAGGAGCAGAGAAGGTTTGCAAACTCCATCTGAAACTTATAATAAAATCTCTGCCAGATATCCCTCCGAATGGAGTGGTGTCCATTTACATTCATACATATTATTTTATTCCGGGGGTTAATGGTACGGATCATTATGAAATCACCAGACCAGACCTGAATCGAGGTAAGAGAAACTATAATGGCCTTTCTATGAACTCAAAACCATAACTTCTAAGTTAAAATTGGAAGAAGTTATGACTAAGATAATACTTCTTGGCTTAGTCTACTAATACTCAGTACTTCTTGAACTCTGTCTGTTTTGCTTTATATTTAATCTCAGTATAAGTCCTCTGGTATTGAGCCATGGCCTTATATTGGTGCTAGACCTTCAAATATCCTTAAGTTAAATATTTTCTGAAATTTATAGATTTTGACAAAAATATTTGGCAATGTATTAGAAACTTTTTCCAAAGCTTTATTTATCTTAACGATGAGAGATATCCTTTGAATAACCCCCTGAATGCATTGCAGAACTTAATCAATCAATTATTCGTCTAGTTTTAAATCAGGCCCTCAGAGACTTTTTCTTTTAAACCAGAAGTATTTTTGGAATCTCAATGCTATTTGTTTGCGGATGAATCAAATTAAAGCTTCTCAGAATTTATCAGAATAGGCTGTCATACAAGTTGGTTAACTTAATTTTAGGAAATGATCAAGGCAATGTAGTCAAGGAGATCACAAGGATTGATGCTAATGAAGAGCTATGTATCCTGTTTGATGGACTTAAGAACATGAATTTGTATGAGTTCAGATGCGAAAGCATTATTGATGATGACAATGTTGTCCAGAAGTTGTGTGAACTGTGTGAGTGTAATAACACTATCAGAGATATTGAAATAAATCTAGAACATGCAGCTCATGCAAAACAAATTCTTGAATCACTTAGAGAAAACTATGTGATCAAGACTGTTAGACTGATGACTCTTGAAGCGATCAAGGTTCCTTCTCAAAATCCCAGACCTCTAAAATCCAAGAAGACCAAAAAGAAGAGCAAAGTTGTAAAGAAACCTAAATCTGATGAATCAATGCAACTGTACAATGAAATAACTACATATTGTGATGAATTCAGAAGCAAGAGACTGGGTACAGAAATAATGCTAAATACAACACACAAGAAGTATAAGCCTTGGGAAAAGAAAGGGTTCCAGCTAAGTTACAAATAATAGCCATTTCTTAATCTTAGCTTAACATCTAAAATATTTTCGTGCAGAAAATTTATGATCGATAATTTCCCTGGTAAAGCTTAATTATCTTTAATTCATTTTAAATGTTTTTTGGGGTTTTGGGGTTTTGGGGTTTTGGGG